GCCCGACGATCCTCGCCCAGCTCGACCACCGCGAAAAGGTTGTCTCATCCTCTTCCGCAATTGGTTTAAGAATGGCGCAGCCATCGTCCTGACATCCGTCTCCGCATATGTAGGCAGGCTACGATCGCGATGAAGTCGACGTGCACTGCACGGACGGCGTGGTGCGCTCGGCGCTGGTCTTTATTGCGACGCCCGACAACTCGGACTTTCTCGGGCCTGCACCGCTGGATATCATGGCCCACGAGGTAGTAGACCATCGACGATGGTACCTCAACCTCGGTCTACTAGATCCGTACGCGCGTCGGGCCCAGCGGCCCGAACTTGGAGTATTTTGAAAAGCTCTGCCAATGGTACGAATTAAAACGGCAGTGGACCCTGTAGTAACACGCCGTAGCATGCGCGACATCCACGTCGAGGACCCGCACTTGCTCGACCTCGAAGCCGCCATCGCGCAGCAAGCTAAAGCGACGTAATAGCACGGAATCGAAATGGTAATATCTCGCTGCATTAGCCCCCGGACGACCACAGCAGAGTAAAACAAGCCCCGCGCCGCCGCCACGGCCCGGTGAGCGCATGAAGAAGAAGGAGATTGCTAGTCTCTACGTATGCAACTCTTTGCAACAACGAAGATAACGCGAAACACGTTCATATATATATATTAGACAATCTTGTGGCGGGGGCTCCCCGGGCGGTCCAGCGCCCGCGGGTACTCGACTGTCACTGTTGCATGAACGGCGTCCACAGTCAAGACGGACTCTTCGTGCAAGCCATCAAAGAGGCCAGGAATGAGCCCGCGGTGGTGGCGCTGGCGCAGCTGAACCTTGACCGAGTAAAAGTGGCGCTACGCAGCCACGTCGCAGCATTGTCTTTTATACGGTCTACCTTGGAGAGGACGTCTCGGGTCCACAGTTGAAGACGACGCAGCGCCAGCTCTCGCTCAATGCCACTCGCCTGGTCTCTGACGTCTTGAAGGGCGTTCGATGCGCGCTGCAGGACCGTTTCGAGCTGCGCCAATTGCCGCTCGAAAGTCGCCAGCCGAGCGCGGTGAAACGGGGGCTGGAGCGAGCTCAGGAGGCACCACGTCGCATCGAGGCTGGCGCGCACATCGTCGTCGAGCGGCTTCAGAAACGCTATCGCAGCGTCGCACCAGGACAAAGGGACCACGCGCGCCGCGAGCCAGAGACCCACGTCCGCAATCTCACATTGCAGAATGTAAGCCGAGAGACACAGACTCTGGAAGTGATCTGCGGCGGTGAGGCGGTCGAGGGCGGCGGCCGGCGCATCAATCGGTGTCCGCACATGCTGGCAGGAAGCGATGCGAGAGAACGACGGCCGCCGCGGCTCGACCCGCACCGACGACCGACGCCGGCGGGTCGGAAGCGATGCCGAGCTGTCGACTGAGTGTAGGTCCGCGTCCGAGTCGCTTAGGTCCGAGTCGCTCGAGTCATCGCTCAGTTTGCTGCGGCTCGATGTGTGCAGAGCGCTCATGGTAGCGGTATCAAACCACTTTGCACTTTCTACTACAAAACGTCAAGGTGGTTACGCACTACACAAATGGTTTTGAAAATTTAGGCCAGAATCTGCTTGACGAGCGTCGCCTGGTCCGCCGACGGACGCGGGATCTTGCCGTTGGTGCCACCGAGGTAGTTGCACCACACCAGCGAGTCGTCCTTGCCAATGTTTGGGTTGTAGTACGTCGAGTAGCCGCACGCTACTTGGTTGACACCCGGGTCCATCGAGTTGGAGAAATGACCCGTCGTCATCCAGTTGCCGTCCTTGCTCTGGTTGCTGTCGTAGTCCCAGAGCTTTTCCTCGCTCGAGTACCAGTTCCAGGCCGGGCCAGCCGTGTGCATGCAGTCGTTGTTGCAGATGACAAAGCCGGCGAGGTTCTGGTTGCCAGGCGGACCGCCGTGGCCGCCGCCGTTCTTTTGCGGGTTGGAGTCGGCCCATGCTTGCATCTTGGCGGCGAGTTCGTCGTTCCAGGTGACGGGGCCAAGGCCATGGGCGGCGCGGAGGACGGTGGTTTGATGGATGATCTGGGCCTTGAGGTCACCGTTTGAGGGACCCGGCTGAGGAGCAGGGGACGGCGATGGAGATGGCTGGGGTTGAGGACTGGGTTTCGGGCTGGGCTGCGGCTGCGGCTGGGGACTGGGCTGCGGCTGGGAGCTCGGCTGGGGCTGAGGACTGGGTTTTGGCTGGGGGCTTGGCTGAGGCTGGGGGCCGGGTTGAGGCTGGGGGCTGGGTTGAGGCTGAGGACTCGGGCTAGGCTGGTAACTCGGCTGCGAGCTAGGGTGAGGCTGTGAGCTTGGCTGGGCGGTGGGTTTCGGTTGGGATGACGGTGTCGAGCTCGGCGACGGCGCAGATGACGAGGGCTGGGGACTTGGAGCGGAACTAGGCTTGCTGCTCGGTTGCTGGCCAGGGGCAGTCGTTGGTTCTCCGTTTGATCCGGGCTGATTTGTAGTCGTTGTGGGACTCGGCGTGGCCCTGCCATCGACTGGCACTGTTGTGAAAGGCACGGATGTTGGAGTTGTCGACGTCATGTCGCCGCTCGTGCCGTTGCCTGTCGTCGACCATGGGCCATCGGTTGTCGGAGCCGACGTCGCCATACTTTCCGAGTTGCCGCCGTTGCCGCTCACAGCGCCGTTGCTGTTAGGTGCCTTTGTCGGTGTATTGGCAGAGCTCTGGCTACTGCTCGAGTCGCTGCCACCGGCGAGCACGACGACGGCAACGGCGAGACCGACGACCATGACGCCGGCGCCGAGGATCGCAAAGATGCGCTTGCGCTTGCGGCGCTCAAACTCATCGATGAACGCGTTCGTATCCTTCGCGTCGCTCTCCTCGAGGATGACCATGTCGGTCGTCCGCGGCTCGTTGTAGCTGAAGCGCGACGTCTGCATCGTCGTGCAATCGAAAGTGAGCCACGTCAAGTGGTGCCACGACGTCGTTGTCGAAGTTCGAAGCCAACCGGCTTGACACGCATCCATACAAACCTGTCAATGGCATCCGAACTTCGAAGCGATGTAATACGTGGCAGCCGGATATGCCGACACTTCGCACGACGCGCCTTTTGCAGTTGGCACAACCGAAGCACGCGACGACCGACCAAAGCACCTTGCGAGCGTCGTCGGCGTGCCGCAAGCCACAACCCCTTGCAACCTCGTAACCTCCGAACGGTTTGTGCTGTGGCGGATGCGGGTTATGGTCATGGGCGATGCACCGGTGGATCATGGTCCTTTCGTGGCGGCAGAGGTGACGCGCCTACTGTTCTTGCATTGATCTTTACCCGAGACCGCATGGAGGCGAGCAACAGCCCACGTCATGTGCTAGATGAGTGTGTAGTGTAGGTCGGTCACCGTATCATGGATTGTCTCGGACGTGCATCGAAACTACGATTCGGATCTGCCGACATACTTTTGCATGGGTTCTCGGAAGGGTACCCTTGATGCCCGTCAAGACTCGAATGCGAGAAATAGCCACACCGCTGCACGACGATACCAGATGCGTTGCGAGAGATGATCAGCAGACAATTGATATTAAATACGACACTCACAGAGCGACACTAGGCCAGAATTTGCTTGACGAGCGTCGCCTGGTCCGCCGACGGACGCGGGATCTTGCCGCTGGTGCCAACCGAGGTAGTTGCACCA